GAATATTTTTGGTTAATCCATGCCGTAACGTATCGAGCACCCACGAGTGGATATATATTCACCATGCTGGCGAAGTAAATGTTGAACAGTGAGAAACAAGCCGCAAGCACGAGCTGTTCACGGGAAATCGTTCCGCCATGCATTCCACTTAGCCAAAATTCTATGCGGAATCGTCGCTAGTAGACCATGAGAAGTGCGAGTCTTTTTTCTCGACACAAACCATCCGTAAAATGTCACTATGTAACATCACGAGCATGCAGAGTAGGATCCTAGAGTTCCACCGTTTACATCCATACCTTTTTTTTTGCGAAACGGTCGCGGATCATACTTTGAAATTATGATGAAGAATTGTGAATATTGATTGGTTATTCGGTCTAGAGTAGCTTTAAAGGTATAGGTTTTATGACTCCTCGGTTTTAGTAACTCCTCGATTGTTTTACGATATCCATATCATATCAAGATCGAGCATTTTTTTTTTTTGTTGGATATTCTATAGGTATTTTGCTTTAGGTCAGCTATCTTTGATTCTTTGAAAACTTATTCGATTCGCTTCCAGTAAAGCTTCATCAGAAACAGAATTTACTTTCTTAACATAAAGTTTGGCTTACTCACAATATAGCTACGATTTTCTAGATTGCGGTTTCGTATATGAGACGTATCCTTATTTCCGGAAACAATAGGATTCGAAAACGTCCCAGAATGCGAAGGTGCACAAATTGATAACTGCGAAGTTAGTGTAGGATGAATAAGCTCCGATGAGCTTCATTCTCGATTTCGCATATACGATATACATTACAATGCATCCCAATTGCATTCAATCGCATGAGGGAAATTCTAACATGAAACAAATTAAAAAAATAGTCGCGGCTCCATTTTTAGGGTCAGCGTTCATTCTTAATTTATTGGCTATTAGGGTGTTTTAATATTGCGACATTTTACGGAGGGTTTGTGTCGAGGACTCGCACTTCTCATGGTCTACTAGCGACGATTCCGCATAGAATTTTGGCTAAGTGGAATGC